GCAGGATATATGTGTGTGTGTGTGTGTGTTGCAGTATATATATGTGTGTGTGTGTGTTGCAGGATATATATGTGTGTGTGTGTTGCAGGATATGTGTGTGTGTGTGTGTTGCAGTATATATTAGTGCTGGGGGGAAACGATTATTTTGAAAACGATTAATCGGGCGATTATTTGATCGATTAGTCGACTAATCTAACGATTATTTTTCTGTTGTTCAATTCATAAAAAACGTAATGTAAAAAAAACGTAATGTAAAAAAATTAATTTTCACGATACTGTGTCTCAGGAGATCTTAATATTTAAGAACCTATTAATGTGTTATACCAGATTAACGGAAATAATCTCAGCTAACTGACGATACAAACCATGTTTACCAAAACAAAACACAAGTCTCATAAGAAGCATCTAAATGACCCCTGAGCGAAAAATGCTAACGGACATTGGCACAGAACTCAAGATAAAAGTACCCTTATTACTTATCGTAGCTGCACATACAATATATCCGATTAAAGCTGAGACTCCACAGATTATGTAGGTACATAGTATCATCACTGAGTGATCCGGACTCGCGACAGGGGAAGCAAATACAGTCATCACAACACGTACCTTCACAGAGCTTCTCGGGAGATCGTCTCACCACCGTAATCTGATCAAAAGACGTGTTCAATGGCAATAAAATGAGAAAAAAACGCGGCTGAATCGGTTAATCCATAGGTTTTTAACGTCTATGTATAAAAAAATTATTGAATTTATAATCCATAATTCCATTTTATGTAAAAATCGGAGAGCAAATGCTAGCTGCTAATGGTAGCCACCACAGCTAGCTGCTGCTTCCGGTCAAGCTGCAGTCTCAGTGAGATATAAATATATAAATATCTTTGCGTTTTGGACTAACTTTAAAATATTCCCATGCTTTTGAAGACCTAGGGCGAGATGTTTTCGTTTGAGGGCTTCGTGCGCAATCCTGTGAGGAGGAGGTGGTAGCCGTTTCAGTCTCCATTGTGTTTGAAGTGCGATTGCGAACTGCTTGTTGCTTTGGGTGACCCACGTGTGTGTGGCGATGCGGAAATATGTCGTCGACGATATTTTGAAGTCGACGTCGATGCGTCGACTACAGCACTAGTATATATATGTGTGTGTTGCAGGATATATGTGTGTGTGTGTGTTGCAGGATATATGTGTGTGTGTGTTGCAGGATATATATGTGTGTGTTGCAGGATATGTGTGTGTGTGTGTTGCAGGATATGTGTGTGTGTGTGTGTGTTGCAGGATATATATGTGTGTTGCAGGATATGTGTGTGTGTGTGTGTTGCAGGATATATGTGTGTGTGTTGCAGGATATATGTGTGTGTGTTGCAGGATATATGTGTGTGTGTTGCAGGATATATATATGTGTGTGTTGCAGGATATATGTGTGTGTTGCAGGATATGTGTGTGTGTGTGTTGCAGGATATATATATGTGTGTGTTGCAGGATATGTGTGTGTGTGTGTGTTGCAGGATATGTGTGTGTGTGTTGCAGTATATATATGTGTGTGTTGCAGGATATATATGTGTGTGTTGCAGGATATATATGTGTGTTGCAGGATATGTGTGTGTGTGTGTGTTGCAGGATATGTGTGTGTGTGTGTTGCAGGATATATATGTGTGTGTTGCAGGATATATATGTGTGTGTTGCAGTATATATATGTGTGTGTGTGTGTTGGGAGATATATGTGTGTGTGTGTGTTGCAGTATATATATGTGTGTGTGTGTGTGTGTGTGTGTCAGTGTATATATATGTGTGTGTTGCAGGATATGTGTGCCAGGTTTGGGAAGGTCATAGCCGATGAGTGTATGTGTATAGTGAGTATAGTGAGTATAATGTGTATTATGTGAATTAAAGGATAATTCTTCTGATATTCTGAATAAAGAACAAACCAAGAATTGACAACGAACAACTGTGATGTCAAAATGACAAACATAGAAAATAAGGCGATGAAATGTTGCGCTCCAGATCTGCAGAGTTTTGTCCTGTTTTTAAAATATTATAATGGCGCACTTTTCATACAAAGTATAACATCTAATTGAATGTAGTATGTCATGTATTTACACCGCATAGTATGTGGATCATTTGTACACAAGAAAGTCCCGATTGTTTACTAAGCCGTGAGCTTACTCAACTGCCCCACAATGCATTGCATACTTGTATTAAGTATAATACGTTTTCATGGGCTCCAGTCCAATTGAAATACCAAATTTGTTGGCAGTTGCAATGACTCGAAATGTGCTACGCTGTCTTCGAGGATATAACGGAATATAAAGGTTCCTTTTTAAAATGTTGCGGCCGTCAGTATTATAAGTCATACAGATCATACATAGTAGTTAATGGTTGGCAGTATGCTGGACATACACATTAAGTATGTAGCCGGTTACTATGCTATTTTTAGTGGTGGAAAACTACTAAAAACATTTACTCAAGTACTGAACTTAAGTCAAATGTTTGCGCTACTTGTTTACCTCACTATTTCCATCGTATACTTCTTCTCCACTACGATTTGGAAGCAACCATTTTTGTTTTTACTCCACTGCATTCATTGAACAGCTTTACTTACTAGATACTTTGCAGATCAGATTTTAAATTCAATTAAATCATGATGATAATATGATCAAGCCACCGCATAATAAGTGCAACTTGAAAATGATCAAATGAATGCATTTCTAATTATAATACAATGATTTAATGGGCTATTCTGCATAAGTACTTTTAAATGTGTTTATTAAACTATATTTTGATGCTAAACATGATTAGGGTTTTAAACACCACCATGGTAAGATAAGAGTGGGTGGGCTTTTTTTTCATTCGGCACATAAAACGTCACCCTCATGTATCAACGCCTCTCTGTGACACCTGAACAAATGATCACTTGTTCCAACAGCGCCTAAATAACAGAGTAATAAACACATTTCACATGAGGCTGAATGCAAACGTGTGCTGGAAAAGACCTCAAAATAGCCGTCCTTTGAGGGTTTTTCCCACTTTTGATTTTAAATGCCATTTTCTTAATCTCTTTCATTTTTTGTAAAGCACTTTGAATTGCCTTGTGTTGAAAAGTGCTATATAAATAAACTTGCCTTGCCTTACCTAACGAGCTTCACGCTGTCTAGTGATAATCGTGAGAAAGAAATCGAACAAATATAGCCCAGTCTGTTCAAGCCCAGTCTGTTCAAGCCCAGTCTGTTCAAGCCCAGTCTGTTCAAGCCCAGTCTGTTCAAGCCCAGTCTGTTCTCACCAACATAGTCCTGAGCCTAGGTCTGCTCATGCGAAAAAACCTGTGGACTAATGTCGGGTTAGGACTACACATTATTTGTTATCGGTTACGGTCGTCATTGTGTCAGGTCAGGGAATTATGGAGTCGTTAAATCTTGCCATGACGAGGTCGAGGGACTTCCCAGACGGCACACGGTAAAAGCCCCGACTTTAACGACATCAGGAGGAGATGCTGGTGACCGACATCCAGAAACAAATAGTGAGAAGTTGAGACTGTGCTGGATGTCTTGTGTTTGGGAAAGCCTTACAAATAAAAGCAACATAACTGACCTTCATCTTTACCACAGGTCCTTGACAGTTAGCAAATTCGAAGGGGGGGAATCCCTCAAGCTAACGCACATCGGTCATTGAAAGTGCATTCATTTATATATATATATATGTTTCAGTCTGCCTTCACTGTAATGCAGCAGAACGGAGAAGTATTCACACGTTCAAGCCTCTCTCTCTTTTTAATTGTTGTCTGTGAGCTTCTGTAAAGCCCGCAAGCTCTCATTATAAAAAAGATCAGTGTTGTATCTGTAATTAACCTTGATCCGTGTAACAAACAATGACGCTTTGGTTCCTGAAATGTGAGGGCATTTCGCCTGAAAAGTCCTTGAGGTAGATGTTTAAGAAGGTGTGGGAACCCTTCTCATATTATTCCTCTTTCACTTCACTGTTTACAGAACGCTCTGTGCTGCTATTACTCTCAGTCAGTCGTGAGGGAACGCGTGAAAGGCACAAAACAAATCTAACATGCTTTTCTTTCTGTCTGACGAAGCTGTGAAACACCGAAGTTTACGTATTTATGTTCACCCTTCTAACTTAAGCACCAAAGTCATCTGCATCCCAAAATAGTCTCCAGCAAATACACCATTAACTGCCGTTTGGGTAAAGGTTGCTTAGAGATTCGGGGTGTTTCTCAATGTCGAGGACGCTTGCTTGGTAGCACATGTCTTCCGAGCGTCTTGCTTCAGAAGCGAGGCAAGAATACTTCCTGGCATTCGGAAAACGAAGAGTGGAACAGGCGAGCAAGTGTGTGCGTCATATGAGAAGCCCCGCCTTACATTTTCCGCCACAGATTTGGGGAAATTGGTCCGTGCGCAAAGCATTGTGGGGATTTTAAGACCGGAGTCTACACATGTGCAGCCCTCGAAATGTCTCCAAACGAAGTACGCCGGGCTCGGTAGAATTCCAAGTATGCTGGACATTGGAACAGTCCTTCGGCGGCACTCGATGACGTAGTGTGCTTGAAATAGTGGCTCTGGAGCAGCTTTACTCAACATTGAGAAACGCCCGAAGTCTAGACTGAAACATTAGACTAAATATACTCTAAAAATGAAATAAAAAATGAATAAAAGAAACGACCGTAAATATAAACATATTAATAACAAAGATCTCTTTCTCTTGAGTATCTACAGAGTACACAATATAAACATAATACGTTAAAAAACACTAACTGACTGACCTACTAACACGTTTCTACACAGTTATAACAACGATAAATATGCAAGAATGTAAACATAACAATGTGGTACTAGTAGGGTAAGGGTACACCACATTGCAAAGCAGATGAATGCAAAGGACCAGATTACTGTTGATGCGCTTCAGTGTAAAACAGTCAATCGAATGAAGTCCTGAGTACGGACGGATCAGAAATGTGGTTTTTGTTTTTGATGATCCTTTTAACTGAAATATCTCTTTCTCCTCAGGCTGAGATAGTGAAGAGATTGAACGGGATCTGCGCACAAGTCCTCCCCTACCTGTCTCAGGAGGTAAGAGACGTCTCTCACCCCCTGACCCCCCGCACTATTCCTTACATCCTGGAATGAGATCAGCCTCATTCCCGCCTCATTACCTCCCAACCTCCACGACCCCTCACTCCTCTCCTCTTGTCATTCATCATCACTCGCTTCCCCTTCTGCAAATCACTTTCACTTCCTCCCCCTACTCTCCTCTGCCATATTCAATCTGTCCTCCCAGAATTCCCTTCTTCCTCCCACTCCCACTCTTTTCCTTTTATACATGTTTGTGTGTGTCAGCGTAATAAATGGTCGTGTGATTCAGATAAGCCTGGCTCTTATCTGCCCACCAGGGCGTTGACCTCCACAGCATACCAGCCTACTGTGTGTGTGTGTGTGTGTGTGTGTGTGTGTGTGTGTGTGTGTGTGTGTGTGTGTGTGTGTGTGTGTGTGTGTGTGTGTGTGTGGTGTATTTGTGTGTGTGTGGTGTGTGTGTGTGTGTGTGTGGTGTGTGTGTGTGTGTGTGTGTGTGTGTGTGTGGTGTGTGTGTGTGTGTGTGTGTGTGTGTGTTTTTTGTCGGGTCTCTGTTGGGACTATTGATATTGATCTAACCTCTCAACCCCCCCCCCCCCCCCCCCCCCCCCCTTCCCAAACTCTCCTTCCCTTGTTTCTGTCTCGCTTTTATTGTCTCTCTCTCTTTCCTTCTCCCCCCCTCTCTCTCTCTCCAGCACCAGCAGCAGGTCCTGGCAGCCATAGAGCGGGCCAAGCAGGTCACCCCCCCAGAGATGAACTCCATCATAAGGGTATGATGTTCTTCCTCCTCCCCCCCCTGCCCCGCTTCATGGGCTTATGAAGTCACAGTTATTGATCATTATCACCAATTCTACTGTTTAATTGAATGCCTCTCCTTTATTGGCTTATAGTTTGTGAATAATGTCTATCATTTGAAATAGTTAGATTTCCCCTTAACCCTTCACTGCATGGGCACATTTGTATCATATAGTTATATAAGCTAGCTTTTACGGCTGTACCCATTATACAAACAAAAAGATTGAAAAGCTTTAACTGAGATTTATTTTGCTTTTTAAATGTCTGTCTTAATTAAGTTAAAAAAAACACCTAAGATTTTTGAATTAGCTAAATTTTTTTTTACCATAAAATGTATTTTAATGAATAAAACTCTTCAGTGTCATCAACATAAACACATATTTGGTTGTCTAAATATTGTTTTTGGTGTGTTTTAATATTGCTGCTGGTCCACCCTATTAATACAGGTGTGTGCAATCTGCTTTTTCCTAAACAATATAGATTGTAACGGTGTATATTATTAGATACAAACATGTTGTGTTGCATCCACCGCTAGAATTCTACAAATATTTAACACTTATAATATTAGTCAGGCCTAATCTATCCATAACTGTTCAGAAGTACCATCTTTACACAATGAATAGCCGTGCAATACAACTAAAAGTTGTTATTAATGAAGCTTTGAACGCGTACATCCCTAGTAGGTAAAAAACAGAATGATGTTGGAGGCATTAGCTGCTCGCTGTCATCCTTCATCTCTGGCTCTAACGTTAGCCGGCTACACTTTATCAATACAAGCCTAGATGCTAGCTTAGCTACTCCGTCATTTTACCCGAGCTTTAGTATTAGCTATCCGAGCCACTCCATCATTTTTACTATGCGTCTGGTGTTAGCTAGCATAGCCACTCCATCACGGTGATTCATGATTCAAAGAGGCGCCTTGTCTTTGTGTCTCCTGCTTTAAATACAGAGGATACAGGCCTGCTTTTAAAGCTACACTTGCTCTTCTTAGCACAGGGAACCATTTTCATTTGTGTATGCCTTTCTTCATGGCCATTAATATCCGACTAGGACATTGTTAGCTCTGGTTCTGAATGTAAAGCAGAGCTGTTGTAGGAGTGGTCAGTCAGGATTGTCCACTGTCCTGACGTCAAATGTGTGTACAATGTGTCTCTTTGTGTACGTTTAAATCAGGCGTGTATCCCATGGTATTTCTTCCATGTATTTGTATGTTAAACAGACCTCTGTTGTGTGCACAGTGTTCTCCTCTCTTGCTTGTTTTCTCGGGGCGATATAGATTGAGAAATTGCGTCTGTTATAAATAAGTTATGTGTGCTGCAGACTTTCCATCTCCTACCCAGCATGTATTGTAGCTATGATATGTTCCCTCATCCATCCTTTTGTGCCTGAGCTATTAGCAGCGTGCCTCGGGGGTTATATATTAAACATCATTTGCGATGTATAATAGGTCTGTGCAGATTTCTCTCCTCAATGTTTTGCAGTGATGTGTGTGTGTGTGTGTGTGTGTGTGTGTGCTGCTGTGCCTAAGTTGTGTGTGTTTGTGTTCCATGTAGCAGCAGCTCCAGGCTCACCAGCTGTCTCAGCTCCAGGGTCTCGCCCTGCCCATGACCCCCCTGCCGCTGGGCCTGAGCCAGCCGAGCCTCCCCGCCGTCACCACCTCCTCCGGCCTCTTCTCCCTCTCCTCCCTGCTGGCCTCCCAAGCCCAGATGGCCAAGGAGGAGAAAGCGTCCCGCGAGGGCGTGGACAGCCACCGCGAGGAGGACGGAGACAAGTCCGATTAGAGAGGTGTCCCCCATTCAGCTCTGTTTTTGTCTAGAGACCTGAACACCCAGATCTGAGCCCCCTTTGGCCTCCAGCCTCTCCCCTGGTCTCTCTCTCTCTCTGACCTTAGCTAACAGGCTTCAGTCCCACCGCTACAGACCCCTAAACTCCTCCTTTTAACGGGAGAGCTTCGGCACCTGCCCCTTAAATCAGACTAGCGCTGATCGCTTCATATTTACTCCAATTGTTTCTTTACCGCCATCACAGCGTCTCCTGTTTCTTCAAATACTGTCCTTTTTTCTATGTGATTAAGTTTCAGTAATTTTGTGTTTTACCTTTTTAAATCAAGACTGCTCTCTATCATCCTGTCTCCTGTTTCTTTTTGCCTCTCTTCCTCCCACTCTCACACACCTCTTGCCTCTGTTCTAAGCGGGTCCTTGTTATACTGAACTCAACTCACACTAGGTGTTAAAACAGTAGGAGTCTTTGGCGAGCTGTACATCTTCAATCACACAGGATTCCTCCAAACCCATGTTTTTCCTAAGAAATGGGTCTGACAGATCTGCAGTGGTGATATGTGGTTCAGTGCAGTATGCATGCATTCATTACAGTCCAAACAGTGGACTGTTACAGATCAGAAGTGTTTAAAAATGTCCCGCTTAAAGATGGAAACGTCCCGTACACACACACCAAAAACGGATGTATTCAGAAGACATCTACCGTACAGAAACTAGAGAAAGGAAATAAACGTCCCACTGAGCGACTCGGAGTACATAACAAACCCTCTTAAGTAAATAAACCCCCCCTTGTTATTGTTGATCCTCATCTGACCCTGTGAGGTGCGTTAGATATATCCTCCCAGCACCTCAGCTGAAACCCTTTCTCCGGTGGTTAAATGAACGGAGATGCCGCCTGACTCCCACCAACTTTTGCATTTTTAATGTGCACTAATATTAGCACAGAGGGGGAGTGTGTGTGCATGGTGTGTGTTTGACAGCAGAGGGCAGTGTGTGTCTTCCGCCTCTCAGAGCAAAAGGAGGACAGGACAATGACAGAGTGCAGGCCGTGTCACCAGGGACAACGGCTTATTTATCCCTCCTGTGTGGACTAACTTAATATACAGGGCAAGACTGGTGACATTAATCTCTGCATGCGGTCAGGCCCAGTGTGTCATGAAGTCTTTGTCTCTCAGCGTGAAACAAACACTACTGGCCCCGTGCTTTAGATCTCTCGGTACATTCAGATTGAAATACTGTTCATTTTGATTCACTGTACACACACACACATCAACACTACAGAAAAGCTCCATACAGAGTGGGACATCTCCACAACTCTTCCTCAGTGCAGAACTCACACATGAAGCACAAGCGTCCTCCACAGCTGCTCCGCTGAGTAAAAACTCCCATCAGCCCCACAGGATCTGTTTTCAATTATCTTGTCTGATTAGGCCCCTCGTCAGGTGGAAGTTGGCCGGGTCTGTCCTGGGAATAATGTGATGTCTGTGAACGAATCTGTGTTCAAAATCTTGGTATCTTCGTAGCGCCCCAAGCAATTCACATATTTGGAACATGACATAAAACCACTGCACGTCAAACCTCTGTCTCTATGCCACAAAAGAATCCCACATTCAGGGTCGTAGTTAACACTCATACAATATAATCCTCATGTTCACGTCTCAAACTCACACACACAAAGAAACTCCAGAAGGAACCTCCACACTGACTATTTGTCTGATCAAACACTCCGTGTGAAGGGAAGAAGAAACACTGGATTGACAATATGGTACTGTTTTTGTTGCGTTTGGGTTATTCTAATTTACACGGCAACATCATGAAATGCTTTCACCATCCCAGACAAATGTCCACTGTCAATATAAAATGCAGATTTGGGCTCCAGTGAACTATTATTTGAGATAAAGTGGCCATAAAACTCAGTCCAATCTAAGTAACGATCCAATCAACAGCTGTGTGTGTGTGGGGGGTTACAAGGGTCTAGTAGCAGCCAAAATGGCCCCATTTAAAGTCTTCTTACACAACATTAGATGACATTTAACCCATTTTTTGGATTATTTTGCAAACATTCAATTACAGATTAGCCTCAGTGGTGATCAGACTGTCGATCCACAGATATTATTAGGCATGTTTGTTTTTAAGTGTTAATTTGAAGACAACCTGTGTTCAAAGCCGTTATACACACCTGGACCGACACACGCTTTCTCAGCGTCCTCTCTGATGTTATGGCTACACTGTGAGAATGACTTCATGTGGAGTGTGTTAAAAGCTTTTATTTTGAAAAAACATCTTAGGCATGATGATGATAAAGCACATGAAGCGATAGTATACACATTGCACGTTACTGCATTCAGAATAAAACCCTTCATGTGTCTACAAGTTCAGATCAGATGCTGTCGGTGACTTCTGTGTTGTGGTGTCTGTGTGTGTAAACAGTTGTGCATGGTTGATACACACATGGTTGCTGTCCTACTCAAACTAAAGCTAACCTGCTATTCTTCTTGCAGCACCTCCCCTCATATACATGTAGACAAAGCAACACACACACACACACTCAATGCATGTCAGCGGGGGAGCCAGCAATGATTGATTTCTAGTGGAGACATTTTTTTTTTTTTTAAATGAATGTTTGGTCCACATTTCCTGTGATCAATGCACTTGTTTTTTTCTCCTCTTCTTTGTTTTTTAAATATTAATCGATATGAACTAGAACGAGAGTTACAAAGCTGACGTTATAAACATACAAATGAAATTCTATGTATTTGTTAAAGTAGTTGGAGGCGCTCGTCTCCCTATACAGTTCTACATAGAAAGCTTTATGTGTATATAGCCACATCTTTTCCTGTCTGGATGATTCTTGTGCTATTGTGTTACAAAAACTGATGTGACACCAGGGGGGAAACTGCAGTACGTTCAACCTTTGACCTTTTCCCTCTTCTCTGGACCCTGACCCCCGTAACTCTCCGCCCCCCCCCCCCCAACTTTTTGCCCCATAGCGTGAAGCATTGTAAGCGTTTTGAGCTTTGTAAAGGTCTTTTTTTAAATACTTATTTTGTGCATAATGTAAAACCTGAAAGTGTGTACTTTGGCAAAAAAAAAAAATGTTTTGTGTCTGAAATCATAGCTTCATTGAAAAAAGAAAAAAAAGAAACTATAAAAAGTACAACAAACATTTACTATAAATAATATGAAATGTTCTGCAGTAAGGAAGGACTTCTGGTGCCTTACGAATAAAGTCAATCAAATCATAAAACAACTGCTTTTCTCTGTCTCCTTTACTTTAAGCCTTTACTATGAATGATTAATGTATTTAACAAATGTACACTTGTTTTAGGTCACGAAATGAACTCATTTGGATGACTGTTCATGCTGAAAACCTCGATTTAAGATGGGCAAACCTACCTCAGAGGGTTTTAAAGGTCTCCTACCATGCAAAATGCACTTTTTTTACATCTTTTAAACATATGTGTCCCCGGTGTGTCAGGGAACTCACAAAGTGTCAGAAAATAAAACCCTGTCTCTTTTCCTCCGTACCCAAATCTCTAAAAACGGGGGTACAACGGAGCTGATCCAGATTTGCGTCCGATATGACGTGATATCGGAAATGCGGACCCGCGGCACTATCAAAAACGTTGCTATCAGAAACAATGCGCGATGTGTTTCGACGTAATATGGACTTTGTTTACATTAGCAAGCATCGCTAACACTCAGAGCTAACCTGGAGAGACAATGTGTACAAATGGAGGAAATTAAAAAAGGAACTCACCTTGTAGTAAACTCACAAGAAAATAAGCATTTGAGCTTCATACTGTTTCAGAAATAATCCTTGAAGTGGTTTGGAACATGATGGTGTTTAATCACGGGAGCATTTAGCTGTATCTGAGCAGAGCAGACTGTCTGTCACAGTGTGCTGCTCAAAAGGGGGCGGGGCCAGCAGAGGATCAGCGTTTCTCTCACAGGGCTGAAATAGAGGGATATGAGGGATGTCTAAAATGCATGATCGGTTTGGTATTTTGAGCAAAACACCTCATAGACATGTTTTTTATAAATTTGTATATATCTGAGACCCATAATATATGCCTAAAAATAGCATGATAACACAAGCTTGCATGGCGTTGTGAATTGCCGGTCCATTTCATGTTTCAGACCCATCATCCATCATCCTTAGTTCTCTCCCTGCCTCAGGCGTCCTGCAGTTCCCCTCAGCTCCAGCAGGAGGAAGTGTTGATTTACGCTCCTCTGCTCCCTGACTCCAGCAGGTAATTGCTCTGAGGTATTCTCTCACATGTGCTTCACTGTTTGTGTGTCACGTTGGAGAGGGAGCTTCCTGTTCTTTCTCCTTGATGAAGGTTTATCTATTCAGCACCGCGTGTACCCAGAAATTGATGTGACATCTCGGAGACGGGAGGATCACGGCTTGTTGGACTCCTGCGCGTAATCCTCATTTAGATGCTCCTGAAACATGTTGTGCTGAATCCACAGCTCATTTTTGATTGATGTGTGTGTGTGTGTGTGTGTGTGTGTGTGTGTGTGTGTGTGTGTGTGTGTGTGTGTGTGTGTGTGTGTGTGTGTGTGTGTGTGTGTGTGTGTGTGTGTGTGTGTGTGTGTGTGTGTGTGTGTGTGTGTGTGTGTGTGGTGTGTGTGTGTGTGTGTGTGTGTGTGTGTGAGAGAGTGAGAGAGAATGACGGCACATCCTTGCTCCTCTATCTCATCACTCTTGTTTGCCTTTTTCTGTGTGTGTCCATGCAGGCAGATGAGTGTGTGTGTTGAGAGAAAGAAACGCGTGTGAATCCTCAGAGTTCCTGTGGTTGCAGCCCTCGTTCCTCTCTTCCTCTCTTCCTTCTCTCTTTCTCTGTCCCCGCAGACAGCTCTGGATCTGACACTTGAATAAATATGAAAGTGCCCTATTTTCCCTTTTTTCTGTCTTTTCGCACGCTCCTCACACGCAGCGACGCAGAGGGGAGGTTTCCTCTCATCACGTCTCTTTCTGTAGAGCACATTAGAGCCTGGAGTTGTTTAATTAGTGGCACCTTAGAGGATAACACTGAGGAAGTTTCTTATTGTCAACCAATCCTATGAAAATACCAAATCTGACAATTAATTGATCCCACTTATAATGAATATCTGATATTCCTCTGCGCTATAGACATTCACTGTTGTCCAAAAAATGTTAAATACTTTTTTATTCATTCCAACAAACAAGGCCACTGTAGTCTATTTTAAATTATACACATTAGAGGACTAAATGTGTATTAATCTGCATCTGAAATATTCCTCAATACACCATTTAAAGGGACCCTATTATGCTTTTGCGTTTTCCCTTTCCGCCAGACCAAAGATACATCTGACAGGGTATAGATGATTGAACTGAAGTATTCCTATAATTTGAGATTATAGGAATACTTTAAACACTTTAGGCTTCTAAAAAGGAAGGGAAATTAAACAATTCAAGAAGGAACATCCCTTTAAAGTTGCAAACAATGTCCCCATCTACGCTACAGACCAAACGTCTGTCAGATATAAGCATTGATGGAACTTTAACTTAGGGTTGCAACTGTGCTCTTATCAATAGGTGCCATTATGTGTATCTGTATATAATGAGAGGGCACTCTGATGTCTCTCTGAGTGTGACCTTCCTCTTTATATGCATTCATTAAGACACTGAGTTAGTTGCATATCCACATGAGGTAATACTGGCAGTGCACTCAAGCCGTACTTTATCCATCATGCACTTCACTCCACTCACCTGAAGGGTATTCTGTGACGTTGTGTTAATACAACTTCACGGAGGAATCACGTTGACCATGGCATCCATCAGAGCTACATCTAATAACCAGCAGGTAGCAAAAAGGAGTCAGATTGATTAGAAGAAGTATATGAGAAAAGTCCCTATTTTTCTCACCTTAACATTGTCCTAATGAGTCTATGGTCTTAATCTCTAGTTGTAGGTATTTTACAGCATGATGTTCATATAGTGAATGTTAGTGCCGTTCATGTTTAAATAGCCAATAAAGCAGGTTATGCTTTGGGGCGTTGCTGCGTTGTGATTGACAGGCCGCTCCCAGTGTTGCAGTTTGGATGCCCTCCGTGTTTCCTCTGAAAACGTTGACCCTTTCAAGGCACATTATTAACTCAGTTAACATTTTCCTGACGAGATTATGGTCTTAACTGCTAGTATTAAGTATTTTTCCAATACAGTGTGATGTTAATTAAGTAAATGATTGTGCATTTAAGAGTTAAAGAGACAATAAAGCAGAGTATGGTTTAGAGCAGGGCGACCTTGTTATTGACAGGTCGCTACCACGGTGTCGTCAGTGTTTTCCTCTTAATACTTTGACCCTTTCAAAGCTAATTATCACATCAGTAAAAACAATTCCGACAAGTTTATGGTCTTAATCCCTAGTTTCAATTCTTCTCAACTTCAGCATGATGTTCATTTTTGGTAAATTGTGCTCTAAAGAAGCGTATAGTTTACAGCAGGGCTACCTTGTGATTGTCAGCTTGCTGCCACATGTTGTCAGGGTTTTTGTTTTACAACTTTAACCTTTTCATAATGTGTTGTCAGTTAATGAAAGTTCATTTGAGCTTATAAACAGGGCTGCACATAACTGGTGCGCAGGTGCGCATGCGCACCTCGGCCAAAAAAAGAGCACCGGGTCATTTGAAAAAAGGCGCATTTGCGTACCAACATTGAGAGGGAGAGAGAAGAGAGAAGAGAGGAGAGAGAGAAAGATATTTGCGAGTTGCATATGAACTCAGGGCCGGCCGTCGCACTGGCGTTGATTTTCGCCTAGGGCGCCAGATCTGTGGAGGCGCTGCGCTGGTAGTTCTGGGAGGGAAAAAAACATTTTTGACTGTTGGTGCTCATCCTAATTTTCGGCCTTGATGTAACAACATTCATAATTAAGTAAATGTAACACCCTTTTCACCCCGGTTACACGTTTCATTTGCCCTGCACGATGGGCGCTGTAAGTGATGAAAATGGGAGATGTTGGCTTGTCTGGCGCCCGCAGCTCACAGCCAAAATGCGAGGGAGAGAGGGAGAGAGGGAGGGTGCACCGGTACCGGCGCTGTTGTTATTAGAATCTGGTGCTAGCTGCGGATATAAGAAGAAGATGTGTCTACAATAATGTGGAGGGAGAGTCCTCTCCAGTCAGACCGAGAGGCTGATACTACAGCTCAGTGAGGTAAGGACTCTTGAGTGTTTAGATAGTTCACTTTAGTCTACGTTCAAACGGTTTGGTCACAATTTATGTAAACACATATTTTCAAGGCACTCCTTTATAATTATTGGGATAAACAGGTTTGAAATCATTCCAATGTATACTATAGGACAGTAACCAAACATATCCTTTTAAAACTGGACTTTCGACCCAAACCCAGCTGTTGACTTGTGGATGCAAGCAGCTAATCGCAGACTCAACCAGAGAGAAAGTAGTAGGCCTACATCATCAGCTACCATGTCTGACAGAGAGGAAGACAGTGAGGAGAACAGTCAGGAGGGATGACAGCTTGTAGGATTACTGGTCGTGCTAATGTTGTCTTGTGTTCGCCTCTGCATGTGTGTTCTATGTTCACCTCTGTGTGTTCTGTGCCGTGTGTCTGACAATTAAAGACCGGTTTATTTATTTCATTTTAAGGATGAGCACCAAGCAACATCTCCAGGTGCTCCTTTGAGAACTAGGGCAAAAAAGTTATGTGCACCCCTGCTTATAAATCACCTTTTAGCGTTAAGTTATAGTTGCGTTTCACTTCTGTCTCCCAAAAAAAGAACAAGATGGCGACGGCCAATACAGCAAACTTGGGGCTTTTAAAACCGTTGCCCTCAAGTCACATGACGATGATAACGGCCTTTTTTTAATATAAAGACTGGGTCTCTTACAGTATATCATATATAATGGAAATAGCAGTTATATTTTAATGTATTCCATGTGAGGCGGCTGATTGAACTTAATTTAAAATGATCACAAGTTTGGAAACCACTGCTATAAAACTGTGTGTGTGTGTGTGTGTGTGTGTGTGTGTGTGTGTGTGTGTGTGTGTGTGTGTGTGTGTGTGTGTGTGTGTGTGTGTGTGTGTGTGTATGATGAGCAGGAAGAGGGAGACAGCGACGGAGAGCGAGAAGCGTCTTGATTCATCATGATTGACTCATTCAGAGCCTCTCGTCTTTTCTCCCGCTCTCTCTTTATGGCTTGATTACGGAGACGCACTCTATCTCTCATTACCTCCCCTCACCCATCCCTCACCCCTTTTCTC